TAAATAATTTTATTGCGGACGCGAACAATAACCTAAAAAGCGACCTGCTTTTATTACATTGTAACATCAGAAGCCTAAACAAGAACTTTGACAAATTTGTTTTACTTGTAAACGAACTCAAACCCAAATTCTCGGTTATCGGTTTATCTGAAACGTGGCTTAGAGACATACCCTCTTCCCTTTTTTCAATCAATGGTCTTACTCTTGTCACAAATAGCAGAACCGAAAAAAGGGGCGGGGGAGTGGGTTTATACGTCACAGAGGGACTGGATTACGAGCTAATTGAAGAATTGAGTGTGTTATCTAATATAATGGAAAGTATCTTTATCGAAATTAAACTTCCTGGAAAGAAAAATATAATTGTTGGTGAGATTTACAAACCTCCCAATTCCATTCCTAAAGACTTTATCGAAAAAATACATACTATATTATCTTCGCCTTCACTGAATAACAAGATATGCATAATAATGGGAGATTTTAACCTAAACTTATTACAATGTGTCGAGAATACGAGTTGCCAAGATTTCTTGGATCTGATGCTATCCAAATCTTTTGCCCCAACAATTACCAAACCAACTAGAATCACTGAATATTCAGCCACCTTAATTGATAATATCTTCGTAAGTGGAACTCCTATCGTCAAATCCGGCGTTATTGTCACTGATATCTCCGATCACTTTCCGATTTATACTGTAATTTCGAATGTAATTTCCCATTCTAATCCCAATACAAACAAATGCTCGGGTATCCGTTATTTATCGGACCCCGACCTTCGTAGACTTAAGGAAGCACTTACCATAACTGATTGGTATGCAGTGTATAATTGTGATGACGTGGATACTTCATTTGATCAGGAAGCTGTTATGAATGGAGATACCGTCTCGAAAGAATTTTCCGAGGGAAAAATAATCAAGATTAACCTGGCTTAACAAAAAGAAATGTAACCCTCTCCAGCCACATTTCCATCAACAGCTGTCCATATCAATGCACAGTCCTTCTCTGGCATTCCAAATAGTACGAAATGTTACGCAACGCCATCTGCTTCCCTAAGTTCTCTATTCACTCTTTTGCAAAAATATGCAAGCATTGAGCTTTGAAGCCATGCGCGGCACCGACAAATTAAGTCATGTTCAGTGAAGATGTATTTAGCTGTAACATATAAAATGCAGAATTCACAACATATGACCAATGCAACTTTCTATTATTCATCAAATGCGTTTTCCGTTCTCGGATAGCTCTACTGAAGACATGGCCATTTCAACCAGCGAAATCGACCAAGGAAATCATGAGTTAGAGCGAATGAAAGGTTTTCATCATCATGATTTTCTCATCTAATTATTGACATTTTCCGAAAATTTCCGAAATTTGTACATAGTTAGGAAGGTAGTCCAAAGGTTTATCTTCCTAAAGAACTAAATGAAATTGTGTTATATGTTTGCGCATTTATTGATTTAGGGCTAGAAGTTATCAAGTTATCACCACTATTCACCCAAAGTACGGGCCGGCAAAGCAAAAGCCGCCGTGCTCGCTGGGCTGGGCTGTGTGTGGAAAGGGAGGACTTAGTGCTACTAGGGAGCTGTACGGTTTCGGAGGGGGATTAAAGGGATTACGGTAGGGGGAACAAAAGATGCGCGGTGCCACGGATGACTTCAAAGGGGCCTCTTGGACGGGATCTCCATTCATTACAGCTTCCTGATTTGATAACTTTATGGAAATATTATTGCTTACTCTCAATTCTTTTCCTACTCGTCAACAAAATTGCTCAAATTACAAAAAACATCCTAGACTCGCGTGGATTTCAAAATCTCTCCTGAAATCTATCAACAGGAAGAACACCCTCTATTACAAATATAAAAAAAATCATACAGTTAAGTCCAAATTGAAATATTCTCGCTATCGTAACATCCTAACCACCTCGTTACGACTAGCAAAAAAGAATTACTTTACTAAACAATTTAACGTGAATAAAGGTGATATAAAAAACACTTGGAGGGTGATAAATAACGTTCTGAAATCCAGGCGAGTCTCAACTCACATTTCAAATATTATGATAAACGAAAACCGAATTCAAGATCCTCTTGTTATAGCAGAGGAATTTAATAATTATTTTGCTAACATTGGCCCAAATCTTGCTCAAAATATTCCTGTATCCGATTTGCATTTTCAATATTTCCTGGAAACGAAAAACACTAATTCAATGTTCTGCACCCCCATTCTGGAGCATGAAGTAATCGATATAGTTAAAAATATGAAAACAAAAAAAAGCGCAGGGAACGACGGTATTACAAATTTTATATTAAAAGAAATAATAGGTGAAATAGTTTCCCCTCTTACCCATTTGCTTAATCTGTCAATAATGAATGGCATCGTACCCAAAAAGATGAAAATAGCTAAAGTTATTCCAATTTTTAAAAAGGGGAACGCGCAAGACATTGGAAATTATCGCCCTATTTCTCTGCTCACGTCTTTTTCCAAAATACTTGGAAAATTGATGTACTCTCGAACAATGCAGTTTCTTATTGATTTTGATATTCTGTCTGATACCCAATTTGGGTTTAGGCAGAAACACTCTACAACCCATGCATTACTCATGTTTTTAGATAAAGTAGCTCATGCTATCGACGATATGGCCCATACTGTGGGTATTTTCCTGGACTTCTCCAAGGCCTTTGACACTATTAATCATGATATATTACTGTACAAGTTATCCCATTATGGGATTCGAGGAAAGGCCTTGGAGTGGTTCAGGAATTATCTCACAGACAGAAAACAGTATGTTAGTATTAATGGTCACGATTCTTATCAAAGATCAGTATCATGTGGTGTCCCACAAGGTTCATTATTGGGTCCGTTATTATTTGTAATATATATCAATGACTTCAGAAATTCGTCTGAAATAATGTCTTTTATTCTCTTTGCAGACGACACTAATATTTTTTATTCACATCGTGACCCTCAATATCTCCTGAGGACCGTTAATAGTGAACTTAAGCGGATACAAGCATGGATAAATGCGAACAAACTATCATTAAATGTCAGTAAAACCCACTTTATGCTGTTTAGCAATTGTATAAAATCCCTACCCGGTAATATTTTAATAGACAACACAAATTTAAACCAGGCCGAATCCACAAAATTTCTTGGTATCTACATTGACAGTGATTTATCATGGAAGATACACGTTAACTATTTGTGCAAGCTGACTTCTAGAAACACAGGTATTTTAATTAAACTAAAACACGAGTTCCCAACCCATATTTTGTTATCTCTGTATAACACCTTAATTTTACCTTACCTTAACTACGGTATTCTTGCCTGGGGAAACGGGACCAAAGCCCAACTTGAAAAACTTCTCATTATTCAAAAACGGGCAATAAGAAACATAAATCATGCGGGATTCCTTTCCCATACTAGTCAACTGTTTTTTAATAACAAAGTTCTCCGAATTGGTGATGTGTATGTGTACAGCGTAGGAGTGTTTATGTATCAATTAACTATAAATGAGTTACCTGCTGTTATTTGTGCACTCTTCGTACGAAATAATACAATCCATTCTTATTCCACTCGCCAACGTAACCTATTTCACCTTCCCCTTACACGAACTTTGTTTGCTCAAAAAAATATCACTTTTACGGGCCCTAAACTTTGGAATGACCTCCCCATTGAATTCACAGAATCAACCTCACTATATTCGTTCAAGCGCAAGCTGAAATGTCATCTCCTAAGCAATTACGCTTTAATGGTAGAAGAAGCTTGATGTTACTTTTAATAATTACTGTCGATGTTCAAACTGAATGTTTCTTTTAGTTTGCTGTTGTTACCCTGTGAATTGCCATTGCGTACGGGTAGTGAAAATGTTATACAAATATTGCTAAGTGTGTGAATATTGTTTATTTTTCTTCATAATAGGTATCAACTTAATTAAATTACGTTTTTTTTTTTTTAATATACACAAGACTATGTCATTGTTGTAACTTTCGGAGCCTATGACCTACAAGCATTGCTTTCTCGTTAGGCTCCATCATATTTCTTCCCTTATTCAACTTAGTCTTATGTATCATTCTTCTTTTTTTTTTTGTATAAACGCATCCTAAAATGAGTTCAAAATGTAACATGCTATATGTAATGATGTACTATACAACATGTGAGAAATATGAAAATAAACTGAAACTGAAAACTGAAACTGAATGTAATTATATATGTATACAAGTATGCAAATTAATAGGTATCCTCATACCAAGCGGATTATTCGAGAAATACCATTCGCATTTTTAATATCTTTATTGTATGTACAGACATTTATTAGTTTGTAAATAAGATGCTGTTACAAACTATTAGTTGAGGAATTTTTCATTTGATTATTTGTGTTGATTAATTGTTATAGATTAATTACCTTTATCTATAAATCGAAGAAATAAACACGAAGGTATCATGATTGGTTATTAATAGAAGGCCTATTGTAATCGAACCGATAGTAAAGAATAGCCATCCGTCTAGAGTCAGTAATGACAACAATATCACAATTCATGTAATACATGTGTGTTTGAACCCAAAAAATTGTTTAGTTAAGATTCATTCCATGTTTACATTTAGTGAGAAGGTGGCATCATTCACCTTTAATGAGTACGGGTCTTACTTATTAATACTTTTTAGAAAAGGGCAAACATTCTAATATCTCTATCTGATGAGATAGAGATATAGGAAATTGCCAAGAAAGATCAATAAGTGATAAATACATGAAAATAGTCTACGAGAAAAACTTTGACAGGGACTGAGAAAGTGAAAGACAGCCAGCTTGAGAGAGATAGAGAGAGAGAGAATGGAGAAGCATATGTAAGAAATAAATGGGAGGACAAGAGCAAAAAGTAAAAGCTACATAGGAAAAAAGTTGAGTTATAGAGAGACGCACTCCATCCTAATACATTAAAAAGAACTTCTCTCATATTCCTAACAAACTTTAGTTCGGATCGATTACTTATACTGGTACTTTTCGTTTACAATTAAATGACGGAAGTCTGTCCAAGCGCATCAAAATACAGAGAAATAAATGATGTTTACCGTAACAAATGTATGCATTAATAATTTAATTACTTAATTTCACATGAGCTGAAGAAAAGAAGTTTTAGCTCAGGAGTGTCATTTTTTCTGATGGGAGAGGGGCATTTCTGTCACAGTAAGAGAGGGGCTGGCATCAAGCATCCCTCACAAAAGGCATAGCTGGCTTGATTATATTTGTTGAGAAACTTTAATGACGAAATGCAGAACACAAAGCAGACATACAGACCTACTGAAAAGGTATTTATGTTTTTATTTCTAACTTTTTTAAATATATTTTTTTAAGTAAATCTGTTATTTTGCTGTTCTTTCTGTTTTGGGTATTTTTTTCTCCAAACGGGTGAAGAAAGGGCACATGTCCCAATTTCGCAAATTGTGAGATGATGTACCAAAACCTGTCCCCGGTCACGACGCCCCTGTCGAAAGGATATGCATTTCTATATTCACATTAATATTTGTTTTTAAAGATGTGTTTGTCTTTGCATTATAACCGATTTCACTTTGACCATTGAAGAATAAAACTGTCATCACAAGAACGAATATCTGCAGTTCCAAAGGAAAATTATTAAACGACTCAAATGACTGAAAGTGATAATCGATTGAATTTATATAATCATGACACTGAATTCCATTCAAATCAAATGATTCGTTTTCCTGATTTTCAGCATGGTCAGACTAGTGTTTTATAATGAGCGTGATTTTTACTAATGACCAAACATTAGTTCGAGGAATAAATTGCAAAATAGCGTTATGTTTAGTTTGGAGAATGCAATATATATATATATGTGAAGGAAATCGTTTCCAATACAAGAGAGATAGGAGAGAAAGAGACAGAGAGGGACAGAGAAAAAGTAATCTAAAGGACATGTTGTATCTTTCTATCTATATTGTGCATGAAATATCTTATTTTGACAATAAATGATATTTAAAGAACGCGGAATACCAGCCGGAATCTACAGGATGTCCCTTTTAAAACATTTAGATGCATCTATATCATTATGACACTCATTCTATTCACATGATTAATTGTCCTTGTTGTCAGCATAGCCAAGCTATTCTTAACATTGATAAGAGAGTGCTCGTAACTAATGAAAATTAAAGATTTCTTTTTTAAAAGTGTTACAAAGAACAGTTACCCCAAAGTTGAGTTTGAAGAATGCAAAACTATTTGGAAACAAATCTTTTCCAATACAAATCCTGTTTGGTATACCTGTGATATTGATGCCTCAGAGGCCATGGTCGAGTAGAACTTATCACTCAGCTTCACATCGAACAGTTTCAGTGAACGAAGATTCGGCATGAAGCAGAGACCTCTCGCGTAATGAGAGGATGCAGCAGGACCGAGATCCGCGTTCGAGTGCTCTAGCTCCTCAATCTGGTGATGTGACGGAACAGGTTGAATAGAGTGAATAGTATTATCAAGTTTAGACGACACGTCTGATTTCAATAATATTTGTTATAGTCATTAATTTGGCATCATTGACCTCTCTTTAGACTTTTAATGCAAGAGAAAGGAAAAGGGAGGGGAGAGAGGAAGAGAGAGAGAGAGAGACAGGGAGAGACAGAGTGAAACCGATATACACAAAGAGACAGAGAGATAAAGATAGAGAGACGGGCTAAACGTACAAGGGAAGTGGGTGTGGTAAAAGCACAGAAAGACGAGATGGAGTAAGACAAATGTGACGATGTATGATTAATTTTAAAGGAGAGACCATGTCTGTTCAAGAAAAATATATACATGTTATCTTGTTATCAACAGTGTACATGTGATCTCTTATTGAGACTCTTTACAAAATATAAATAATAACAATCTTTTAAAAATGCGCAATACTATTTGTAGGATACGTGATTTTTACAATACGCTTATACATGTATTTCAATCTATTTCATTATGCCACCAAAATCCATTCAATTCACATAATTTATTTCCTCGTCAGCATGGCGAAACTATTTATTACATTGATATGAGAGTGCTCGAGACTATTAAATGAAAATAAATGATTTCTTTCCAAAAAGAAATGTGAAAATACAGTTATGCCCCCTTCACATTCATAGGTTTTGCTTACGAGTCCTTACAGATCGCACAAATTCACAGAGCCTTACAATTTAGCCACTTCCACGACCAATTTAAGAGCTGTTACGAGATATTACGAGCTATTTACGGTTTATTACGAGTTATTACGAGTTACTATAATGTATTTTGGCATAGTTCCACGATTTGTTACGAGTTGTCACAGATAACTACGAGCAACTTAAGGGCATTTTACGAGCTTTTTAATGATTGTTACGAGTATATTACATAATCTTACTATTCATTGAAGCTTTTACGTGTTTGTTACGACCTCTTTACGTGTTGTTATGAATAGTTACGATTATTTACCAGTCCTTACGATTTTGCAGCTTATATACCTTTCCCCAAATCGTAAACAATATATAAGAATACGTAATGTATACGTATATATTGGTAAAGTACTCGTAACTCAACGTAAAGTGCTCGTTATAACTCATAACAATTCGTAAAGCCATCGTAACACGACCCGATTGAAATCGTAAACAACACGAAAGCAATCCGTAAATAATCCATAACAGCCCCTTCACATACACAGATTTTTCTTAAGCAGGGCTCCCACTTAGCCGAGTTGAAGCCTCGAGATGTGGCGATTTATCCCGAGTTACAAGAAGAGCTGTTCGCGAATTATTACGAGTGCCTCTTTGAGGCAACTCACCAAATCGCCAAATCGCCAAATCGTAAGAATTCGTGAAAGATCTGTGAATTTTTATAAAATGTGTATGTGAAGGGGGTATTATACAAATCGTAAACTAACCGTAACAAATCGTTTCAAAATCGTTACAAGTCATTTACGGATTCTTGTGAGCAGTTTACTGGTGGTTGTTGCGAGCGGTCTACGATACTTACTGATTGTTACGAGTTATTTACGGAAAAATCAATCCGTGGACAATCGTAAGAAGATTTTTGACACGTCTAAAAATTATCCTCTCCTTTCTGTGAGTTGTTGCGATTTGCAACGAGTTATTCACGGATACCAGCGAGTTAATTACGGATGCCTGCGATTTACTACAAGTTGGCGATCCGTAAGGACATGTGAAGGGGGCGTTAACCCATATGTTGAGCTTGAAAAATGCAAAGTAAGTTGAAAAAGAAAAGTTGTTTGCAATATTGGGTATACCTTTAATTTTGATGCCTCAGTGGCCATCGTCGAGTAGAATTCATCTTTCAGCTTCACAGTGCTCAGATCCAGTGAACGAAGATTTGGCATAGAGAAGAGACCTCTCGCGTAATGAAAGGATGCATGAGAACCCAGGTCTGCGTGCCAGTGGTTTACCTTCTCAATCTGATGATGGGACAGGAAAGTTTTAAACGAGAGAAGAGTATTATAAAGTATAGACGACATGACTGATTTCAATATTTTTCATTGTCATTAATGTAACATCATTAACCTATACTTTGACTTTTAAAGCAAGAGAAAGAGAAAAGGAGGAAAGAGAGAGATAGAGATAGAGAGACGGGCTAAAATCACAAGGGAAATGGATTTGGTAAGAACACAGAAAGACAAGATGGAGTGAGACAAATGTGATTAATTATAGATAGTTGTAAAGGAGAGACCGTGTCCGTTCAAGCAGAATACAACATATGTTATTTTTGTATCTACAATGTACATGTGATATTTTATCGAGACTATTTACAAAATATAAATAATTTCTTTTTAAAAATGAGAAAAACTATAAATAGTATACGTGTTTTGAAAACACACTTTTATATGAATCTATTTTATTATGTCACCAAAGTTCATTCTATTTCTTTCCTTGTCAGCTTGGCCAAACTATAGCATTAATATGAGAGTACTCGTAACTAATGAAGATAAATGATTTCTATCCTTGTTTAATGTGAATAACAATTTCCCATATATTCAGTTTGAAGAATGCAAAACTATTGGGCAAAAAAATTGTTTCTAATACAAATCGTTTTTGGGTATACATTTGATTTTGATGCCTCAGTGGCCATCGTCGAGTAGAAGTTATCACTCAGCTCCATGATGTACAGACCCAGTGATCGAAGATTTGGCATGGAGCAGAGACCTCTCACATAATGAGAGGATGCAGCAGAACCCAGAGTGGCGGACCAGTGGTTTAGCTCCTCAATCTGGTGATGACAAGACATTTTGAATAGAGTGAATAGTAATATCAAGTATAGACGACATGTGTACTTTAAATACTTTTCCTTTGCATTAATGTAACATCATTAACCTATACCAAGACATTTAAAGCAAGAGAATGAAAAATAGAGGAAAAAGATATAGAGGAAAGAGAGAGAGGGGGAGATAGAGAGACGGGTTAAAAGTACAAGGGAAATGGGTGTGGTAAGAGCAAGGAAAGACGAGATGGAGTGAGACAAAATGTGATTAATTATAAATAATTGTAAAGAAGAGACCGTGTTTGTTCAAGCAGAATACGAAATATAGATAATTTCTTTTTGTTTAATGCAACAACCTTTCTATAGTATACGTGTCTTTATCACACACTTTTATATAAATCTTTGTAATTATGTCACTACGGGTAATTCTACTCACATGATTTATTTCTTTGTCAGCTTGGCCAAACTATGTCTTATGTTGATATGAGAGTACTCGTGACTAATGAAAATATATGATTTAATTTTTTATTTAATGTGAAAAACAGTTACCTCAAAAGTTGAGTTTGAAAAAAGCAAAACTATTGGGGGGGGGGGTTGTTTCCAATTCAAATCGTGTTTGGGTATACCTTTGAGTTTGATGCCTCAGTGACCATCGTTGAGTAGAACTCATCACTCAGCTTCAAACTGCCCAGCGTCAATGATCGAAGTTTTGGCATGAAGCAGAGACCTCTCGCGTAATGAGAGGATGCAGCAGAACCCAGATCCGCATGCCAGTGGCTTAGCTTCTCAATCTGGTGATGTGACAGAACAGGTTGAATAGAGTGAATAGTATTATGAAGTATAATGTCAATATTTTCCATTGTCATTAATTTAACATCATCAATCTATACTAAGACTTTTAAAGCAAGAAAAACAGAGAGAGGGGAAAGAGAGGGGGAAAGAGAGGGGAAAAGAGAGAGACAGAGAGAGCCCGGCTATTAACGTACAATAGTTACATTGCTATAGTTTGGCCAAGCTGACAAGGAAAATGGATGTGGTAAGAGCACAGAAAGACGAGATGGGTAACACAAATGTGATTAATTATAAATAGTTGTAAAGGAGAGACCGTGTCTGTTCATGCAGGATACAAATATGTTATTTGTTTATATATAGTGTGCATTTGGTATCTCATTGAAACTATTCACAAAATATAAATAATTTCTTTTTTTTATGCGAAAAACTATTTATAGTATACTTGTTTTGAAAACACACTTTTATATGAATCTATTTCATTATGTCACCAACGTTCATTCTATTTACATCATTTATTTCCTTGATAGCTTGGCCGAACTATAGCATTGATACGAAAGTACTCGTAACTAATGAAAATAAATGGATTTCTATTTTATTTTTAATGTGAAAAAATTCATCCAAATATTCAGTTTGAAGAATGCAAACTATTGGGGAATTGTTTCTAATACAAATCGTGTTTGGGTATACATTTGATTTTGATGCCTCAGTGGCCATCGTTGAGTAGAACTCATCACTCAGCTTCATAGCACTGTACATATACAGTGATCGAAGATTTGGCATGGAGCAGAGACCTCTCGCGTAATGAGAGGATGCAGCAGAACCCAGATCCGCGTGCCAGTGGCTTAGCTCCTCGATCTGGTGATGTGACAGAACAGAACATGTTTGAAAACACACTTTTGTATGAATATATATCTTTATCACAATTAAGTCCAGTCTATTTACATGGTTCATGCTTCTTGTCATCATGGTCAGCCCATCATATTGATATGAGCGTGCTTTTGACTCATGACGAAAAATGATTGCAAAGTACATGCAAATACTATTTATAGGATAAGTGCTTTTAAACACGCTTTTAGATCCGAGAGGTAGTGCGTTAGATCCTCATTATGGTGATGTGACAGGACAGGTTGAATAAAGTGAATAGTAATATTAACATCTTCAATTGAAGGAATACTTATGTACAGTAATGTAACATTATGATGGATGGTATGCCATCGATATATATACTTAGACTATCATGAGCTTTCTTCTACACTGTTGGTCATAATGGTGGAATAATTTTTTAAGAAAAAAAAATCCTCTATGTGGGCATGCCTTGACCCATAATGCATTGCCCTAGAGATTTTTTTTTTTTTATGTTGGGGACCGGGGGAAAATGCAATGAATTATTGAAAATATATTGCATTTTCTTTGTTTTTTATTTGTGGGGGCGACGACGTACCCTAGCCCCCGCTGCGTACAGTCATGATTCAGTGGCTAAGCAATGGCCTCGTTACTGTGAGCCCCCAGGATCAAAACCGTATCGATATGCTTTATTAGTGCCCTTTTATGAGGCATTATTCCTCATTACTGTCAGTTATGACTTAAGGACGTAGGTCCCCTAGTACACTGTAGATTAGCATAGTAGCATACACATGCTTCAGCAGTCACGCAAAACAAACACTCACAAATTATTATTCAGTCAAATCTGAGAATGTATACTATTATCTAGATCTAGTAAGAATAAATCATTTTTAAAATCTTTCCATAAATCGGGGTAAAAAAAAATATTCCACCATTATGACCAACAGTGTAGTTAGATTGAAAGAAACACACATATTGAGTAAACCTAATGGTAGAAGAATCAAATGGTGAACAGGGAAAATAGAGTAAAAGGTTACTTATTGCATGCCATTAGAACTTTTCGTCAACCTTTTTCAAATAGAAAGATTTAAACAAGTTTGTTCTGCCATTCAAGTATAACAACTCCATGATATAAACATATATCAATTAAATCTAGGATAGCAGAAGAGCATAATGTGCGAGACAATGAAATATAACAAAAAGATGAGGAGAATTTATTGATAATTGATCATCATTACGTAACTGTTCTGTTGTCATATGCCATATGAAAAATAGAGCAAATTGATATATGATCATTAATAGTTTCTACTTAGCATTTTCTTTCATAAAGCAGTCACATAATAAAAGAAAATATATAAAAGTGAAGAAATAAGGCAATATGGGTAAAGATATTAAAAGAAAAAAGGAGATATTATATAATTTTGTTCATGAATGTAAACAAAATTCTTTACTTAAATTGTGAAAGAAATGGTGTGGAATCGATCAGAAAAGGTTGATCATCTAGCATATAAGTATTGGTGTGTACTGCAAGGTTCTGGAATCATCAAAATGATAAGAAATTTGGCCCAGTCTTGGTAAAGTAACAAGCACTTTACACAGAAAGATGTATAGGGACTACACAAACATGAGGCTTAAAAATCCGTCCCGATTTTTATGTTATTACATGCCATATTTAGAATATGAAGGCATTTGAAGAGCCATGCTTTTCAGGTAACATTTTGTATCTGATATTCTTCCACACTTGCATAATAACAATGATAACGCTCACAAATTATTTTTACCTCTTCCCAGAACTCAACCTTCTCTTTAAATAAGCAACAAATAGCATGCATCGATTAAGGAATAATGATAATTATGATTTAGGATTCATCAACGTAAATAAAGTAATCACAAACCATGGACTGTGGAGCAGCAGCAGACATTCCTGTGTAGAATTTGTTATCCAGTTCGGTTCGAATTGTCACCTCTCGTAAGGTCTGCAATGTGAAGAGACCTACTGCTGCTGCTACATCAGACGATGATGCGGTAGCTTCAAAGGACTCGCTAACACCCAATGTTTCGCGAATCGAGGAACTTCGTCTTACCTGTACAACAAATACATTTTAGCATTCAATCTATAAATACTTTCAATAATTATAATCAATCATACCTTCTAATGGTTTAATTTGTGCAAACAATTCTTATAGCATGTATTCGTTTGTAAAAGGAATACAAAACAGACCAAGTCATTTTCTTGATGTCTTCACGATTAGGCCAGATTCTGACGGCATGTGTTATGTAAATAGCATGGATACAAACTCACATTCTTATCATCACGAATTATGGAAGGTGATATGAACAGGACAAAACAAATTTAGATTTATCTTTTGTTTTAGTTATCTGTAATAAGCATACTTGAAAAGTGGATAGCGATTGAGGTATTTATGGAGGGCATATTGAATATAGAATGACCTATATTTTCGATATACTTTCGACGGTATAATGTGTAGTTGTCCTTTTCTTTGTAGCCAAATTTGCAAATGCAATTACTGAAAGCTCAACAGGTGACAGTATTCCCTAAATATAATACAATTTACAATTAGATGAGTGAAAATGTAATACGTCTATAATTCTATTCACGAAACTTACTACTTCCTTCCCTATTGGTTCCAGAGTGAAGAGAAATGCGGCATTTGAAAGACTAGAAGTTAACTTTAGAGTTGCCTCCGTCTTCAACAGGTTCCTGACGGGATCAATGGCTTCTGAATTATGACATTCAAATGCACACTGAATGATGAACTCCGTGTCATCAACCTTCTTGCATAGGACTTCCAGGATCGACTTTCCTACTTCACCTCCATGAGCTGCAGTGAAGTACAGGACATATCTGAATTCCTTGTAGTCTTCTAAAAGAGTGTCCGCCAGGATTCTGTTGAATTCTTGACGATCTTCGTTGAACAGCGATGCAAGGTAGAAACTCGCTATGTACTCCTGCAATAACTTATGAGGGAAAGAAAATTCTTGAATGAATTGCTTTCGCTGACTTTCTCTGATTTGCAAGGGTGCTGGCCTTATTTCCTTACTAAGAATCCCGACCTCGCATGCAGTCATTGCAGCCTCTTTGCATGAGTCGAGCGCCTTTTCATCGAAGATGAGCTGTTTAACCAATAGACCTTGAAATGCGATACAACTAATATCTTTCATACTTTCACTAGCTTTCGCTATGCGGCTTTCATAGCCCTCTTCTAAATCATTTGGTTTGGAAAAGTATTGCTCTTGAAGTGAAAAGACAAGACGCTTCAAGAGTTGCGAGAATGTTTCCATCGTCTGAAAATTTTCCCGTCCACTTGGCGTTTTCCACAAGCTACATAGCATACTGCAGAATATCGGGAAGGGTGCCATGTACTCAGAAACCACTTGGTTTTTATCAATGAAGTTAATGAGGGTCGAAGCAGAATCAGAATCATCTTTGAAATAGTTTTTGATATATGCTGTCATGTTTTCCTTTGCGAAGCCCTTAACCTTACCAAACGTGTAATGGTCATTAATCGCCATGATGCTCTTGATCTGATCGGCTCCAAAAGGACGGGTTGTAATAACGACTGGGGTATCAATGAATCGTTCACCTCTCACGATCGATACGATAGCGTCATTGCGATGAGGCTTTTTGATGTCGATTTGTGCCTCGTCCAGTCCGTCCAATAGGATAAGGACTTTTCTCTGATTTTTCCTGATATATTCATCAACCCATTCCCCCTTTACTTCCAAATCATCTGGGAAATGGCTCATGACAGTATCCCCAAAGAATTCGCTCTCTTTAATCTCTCGAAATGATTCAAGAAAAAGCAGATTGATTTCTTGAAGAATTTTACCCTCAGCCCAATCAAGAGCGATCTTAGCAAACAGCGTCGATTTTCCTACACCAGCTTCTCCAATGAAAGCTAAACGTGTTACAAAACCTTTCGGAGTGTCAGTTTTGATGAATTTAAACAACCCGTCGTAATCTATTGGCTTCTCCCTTTCCCCTTCCAATCCCAACATCAGAACGAGACTGACATAGATGTGCTGAAGCCATGTTCGTGACTCAGGGTTCACAGGCGATGTTTTGATCTGACCAAATTTCTTGCGATATCTACTTTTCAGTTGTTCTCTTAACTTCATAAAGTCACCTTTCATCGCCTCATCGTCACCTGAGGAAAAAGAGTAGAGCATTATTGCAAAATAATAACGTTCGTAATAAAATTAGATACAAAATTAGATAAAAACCTGGTTCAAAACTTGGCCCAATCAGCTGAAAAAAAAATAACAAACCCTCAACGTTGACAGTAGACCTTGCCTCTCGTTCTTTTCGACGGTTGTTTTGGAAGATCGCGCGATAAATGGAGACACTGCGCTGCTAGAGGTATGGGTGTGATTGAAGAATATAAAACATATTAAAAAACGGACAGAATCTGGACTACGAAGGATAAACCCGGCCTCCGGACACAGATCTACTTATTTGAACCCCCTTGTAAAATTTGCAGTGGGTATGCCGATCTGTCTTCGGAAGCCAAGGTTCTCGCTGTTTTTCAGTGGGGTGGAATGATCGTGAGACAAGTTTTTCCGACTGGTAAATTGAACCTGTAAATCACATGAAGTGCGACGGCGGGACTCGAACCGTGGACCTTGTGATCGACAGTCCGGCGACGTATCCATTCGACCACAACACCACTACAATAATGAGTGCTGCCCCAACGCAACATTTAGATGGAAACTAATATTACAGCACATAAATGAACCTAAATGACACGTGAAAGGGCTTTAGCTCTAATGTTTATTTTGTGTACCAATTTATTGCACGTTCTCGTAATTGTGTGTGCATAAAATTGTCTTTTCTACCTATCAGAGGATACCAATGCAACACTCGTTGAACTAATTTATAATAGAAACAATTTTGGGGTGTGAATATACAATGTAGTTTGTAAAGGAAAATTTTACTCAAACTAAGGACATGGTCTTCACATATGATAATTAATCAAGTTGCTTTATAAGTACTTTCATTAATGCTATGGTCACATTACCCAAAAGTAGCCTGCTCGGCGGCCGAGCGGCGAGTTTTTAACCAATTCTGCCCGGCGGCTGCCCGGCCACCCAGCGGCGGGCGCCCAGGCACCGCTCGTTTTTAGGGCATCGCTCGGTCGCTGCTGAAGTTTTAGCGCAGAATTAAAATTTGGGCGGCGCCTGCTCATTTTTCACTCGCCGCCCAAAATACGCTCGGTGCCTGGGCGGTCGCCGCCCGGGCACCGACCTAATTGCTGGGCGATGCTTAATTCCAGCAGCGACTGAGCAGGCTACTGATCGGTCGGTCGCTGCTCTGATTTGTGACCATAGCTTTACACTATCATTTATTTAAGGAAGCTTACCGCTGCAGCTTGTGAGACATGTTTCTTCCACCTCTAGAAGGCGCACCTTTTTGAGAGCTGCTCTGAGAGTTGGAAGTTGCTTGGATATTTTGACCGTCTCCGCCCAGTTCTGAAGCATCATTACGTTACCATTACTAGTCTTTCTACCTCCAGCCCAATTCGTCTCCAATGCCCGGTTAATAGCAGCACTCTGGACTCCCAGCTCAAGACCAAGTCTCCTTATATCACCATCATCTGATATGGCGTCTGCTACTTTGATGATGACGTTATCAAATCCATTTGTTTGACTCGATGTTTGGCTACTAGAACATAAGAAGCATATAAAATAGAATTAGTGCAAATCTATATTTAAAGTTATACCACACAGTTAATCAAGCCTTCTATTCGTTGTGTATCATGAATTACATATCCCCCATTGATTAATGTAACGAAACGTCCTGGTCAATTTTCAATTCCTTCCTGCTTGATATTTTATGTCACTGGTTCGAGGATCCATTATTTAACAGAGTTAACATTTTGTTCATGTCCTTAATTCACCAGTATGTGAGCTAATAGTACAATACAATACAATACAATGAACATTTAGGGCGCCATTCCCATAAGGCTCAGAGCGCTAACATCAAATAATATTATTGGTCTTTACTACATGTAGTAATTAAAGGCTACAATTAGATATTCCATATAAAATATTAAATTCAATTGATTAAATTAAATAATTAAACATAGAGGAGAATTCATGTAAAGAGATGAGTTTTCAGAGCCTTCTTAAAAATATCGATAGAGGCAGATTGTCTGATGGACATGGGGAGATTATTCCACCCTTTGGATGCTGCTACCGTGAAAGTCCTATCCCCGGCTTGGACACGTGTAATTGGATAATTTAGACGGAGGTATTCTTAGATTTAAGGACTACATATATTCCAAGACATCAAAAATACTTAGTCATGTTAGCGTTTACTTCAATTAGAAAGATGAAATATTTGAACGAAACCATTTCTTTACATTTACTTTGAGAAGTATTCTACTTTTTCAACTGCAATGTCGTTTTTTTAGAATATAGAATACGTTCCCCGTTTAGGGGCTTGCTTATACAGTATATATATATATATATATATATATATATACATCATTTCTAATAAACGTTTCTTTGAAATACATGTACATAAATGTTGGGTACCTGTTCAAGACATTAGTGTAGTAGACCAGCCGAACATAAACAGAGCCTCTAGAAAAAGTTGCTATGTCATTTTATCGGGAATGCATGCACGGTTTGCAATTTTCCGGGAAATAAGTGTAAATACTGGGAAATACTGGAAATAAGGGTAAATACTTGGAAATACTCATATGGGAACCAATAATATTGTAAATTTGCTTATAAGCGATTATGGCACTGATGGCCCAACTCTCCTCCAACTAAATGCCATCTTTCAATAAGACTTTACATGTCTCTTAGTTGTAAATTTCCGATAACTTCATATATTTCTTAGAACTTAAAACACATTAACTCATGACATGTTCTCCTGTAAGATGCCCATGAGCTCTCAATTTCGTAGCATTACAAACATTATGGTGGCCCCGAAGGGACATCTCGAATCAAGAATTTTGCTGTGAAATTGGCGAATTTTGCCCTGAATTTATTTTTCCGGTTCCAGGTCAATTACCCCCTGGGCAATCACCCCCCGGAAAATTACCCCCGGACAACTACCCCCAAGGACAAAAACCCCCGGGGATAATTACCCCTAGGACAATTACCCCTCCTCCTCCCAGAAATTACCCCCTAGGACAATGACCACCCCCCCCCCCCGAAGAAAAAAAAATCTCCTTTTTAAACCAACTTATAATCAGGCTGGATTTCCCTTTTAACGAACAGGGGGTGATTCGGGGGAGGGGGCGGGCGGGTTAATTGTCCTAGGAGTAATTGTCCTCGGGGGGTAATTGTCCACCGGTGGGGTAATGTTCCGGAGGGTAACTGTACTCGGGGGGTAAAAGTCCTGGGGATAATTTCCCGGGAGTCAGTGTCCTTGGGGGGGTAGTTTTCAAGGGGGTAATTTTCCGGGGATGATTGCCCAGGGGGTAATTGTCCGGATACGTCCGTAGATATGTTCGGGCAGTTGGGGTGGGGGTCGCAGTTTCATTTATTGCTTTGGGCGCCATAATCCATATATACGCCATTGTTTATACAGAGTTGTGAATTGATTTCAAGATATTCAAGATAAATTTGGTTCCTTAGTTTTGATAAATCATAACCCAGAATTAAAATGATAGATTTAGGAATTTGGATGTGCAGGAGGGTTTGGGTTCAAAATTTCTACCCATCCCTCTTTTTTTCTTTTAAAAAATTGACATTTCTGATACTTGATGATAGCATCCTCTGCTGCTTTGGAGCTTGCAAGAGTGTGTGTAGTTTGTAATTGATATTATCCCTTCTATAAGGCGCTCCAGCTTCTCCAGGGCATCACTGGTACTGTTCGTGAAATCAGTGATTCTTAAGCGCATCAGTCATGAACAAGAAGTACTGTTTATAAATTTAACATTCGCATCTCGTATTTATGTACCATTGTCTGTTCGGAGCCACAATGGCATTGATATATATTACTTTAACATGGAGTTAACGCCCTTTCGACCCCAAACAGGGGACATGTTAAACTTGTGTATCACGTTTTCCATCATAAATAATTAGACGTATTAGCCCTGCATTGTTAATAGTAACGACACATGACCTGGGCCTTTTCTCTTTTCCATTGTTCACATTTTTGGTGTATCAATACAATTGTATTATTATTACGTCCCGTATAATGTTACTTTAGAGAAAAATGTGTTTAAAGTCCGCAGTCTATTTAAACACTGAGACTCTAAAGGTATTGTGCAAGGTAAAAAAGGGAAATTAAAATTCTATAAAGACATCTGTGGAGGTATAATCAGATTTTGATAAAATGTAGCAGAATAATTACTCCCATCCTATTCTTCGAAGTTTTTAAATTACATTAAAAAAGTATACTCTTATAGGAAATTCTAAAAGCTAAATTAGGCCTTCCTGAACAAATACACCTTCATTGAGCTCTAACTGAAAACCACACTATATGACTTTTTGGTAGTTTTGTGGAGTGGGGTCACATGTGTACTTGCTTGTTTATATAATAAAGCTTTGATTGAATTGAAAGGAGTCCGTCGTTTACGCATTTACCATTTAAAATGGTCAACTATAGGGCCTATATAATCTTATCTGTTGTTAGTGTACTGATAAAAAGATTCGTTGTATATTGGAGGTTTGATGTTTATCATTTCTTTCCCTCTGAGATGAATAACGAATAACGTCATATTTTCATTTCAACGAACGAATCTCCTTTTGTTCACAGCAGGTGTCGACCATCGTTTATATTTACTACCAAAAGTTAATTCACATGACATTTTAAAGAATAATAACCTGAAGTACTCTCAAAAGGGATAAATGGTCTTACTCAGTCATTAGCATTCTTTGACCAGTGCAAATTTAACAATTATACATGTATCACGGTGGACTTATATCTGTACCTTGTACTTGGTATGTCATCCCTCGGGGGTTCAGTCATCTGTTCAGTTTTTTTAGAAAATGTCTTTCCCATCGTGAAGGTATCCGGGCTGAGGAGAAATAGAGAAACATAAATGATAAATAATCACAAACATGGGGTCCACCGAATGGACATAAGTCCTAAAAATTGACCGGTTCACTAACAACAATTAAATGTCTCAGATGTTTCTTTCCTGGGGACCTACTCATGAGTTATTCCATTAACCTTTTATTAATGAATGAACTACAGTACTTAGAATCAA